GAGTTGTCACACAGCTTAATCAAGATGGAAACCCACACCCACACCTCCTTCAGATACACTCTTTCAATACAGAGGAGGAAGAAATAGGGCTAAGAGATCACAAAGGTTCAACAAAAAAAGGTGGAAAAAATGGACAAGGCACCAAAAAGACCAAAACTGCTAAAACGGTAAAAGGAGAGAAAGTAAAGCTCCCACGTCAGGGTTCTCGTTCTGTGCGGAAGATCAAAGCCTTGCTAGAGGGAAAAGCAGCCAAAAGTGTCGGAGGGTCAGAAAGTGGTGCTTCTTCCCCTACCCCATCGCTTGGCTTAATTGGAGCTCAGGGGGAGTGGCCTATTACTGGGGGACTGTCAAACGATGACCAACGAGAATTCCAGGAACCATCTAACATCCTCTCCAATATTGTGTCTGGCATGGCAGAGGTACAGCGTTTCATGAGGGCCTCTGTGGAACCTCTTTGGGGGCCTTGTCTTTCACCAGGTCAGCATGCCCTTCAGAGCCAGACATTGAAGATTCTGGGTAGTGCTGCTGACCTTAAAAAGCGGGGTGGTGCCTCAGGTGGAGGTCGAGGGAAGAAAGGGGCTGGGCGTGGTGGTAAAGCACTGCCTAAACGTCTCCCACCAGGCTTCTTTCCTACCCTTGGATTAGACTGTCTCCCACTTCCACACCGTCCAGCCCACAAAAAAATGTATCGTCACAAAAGCAGCGCTAAGTTTGCCCGTGAGGAGCTCTTGGCGGGTAAAAGGGACATAAAAGGAGTAGCATTGACCGCTTTGGTTGAGAAACGGAGGTAATATTTTCTCTCTGCAATGTGCCCCTTCTCTTTCTCCGTTCCCTTTCCTCGCACCCTGCCAAATCCTCCTAAAATCCTTTCCACATTTCAGAGCTGCATGGCACAGACTTTACCCACAATCCTTTGCCTGGCCTACTGGAAGGCAGGCACATCCTGCATGTCAGCCCTGCTAAACTACCTACTAGACTGACTGAAGTCTCACTGTCATGGCTGCACCCTACTCACCATTGCTGCTTTTTTTTAATCATTTTTATCTGACAAATTTTCAGTTGTTTTTATTTGTGTTTTGTTTGTTTTTCAAGAAGAAAAATGCCTTGAAAGTCTTTGGATTCTCTTTTAGTGTGGTGTATTTCTAAATATAATTTTTTTTTGTCTTTTTGTTTTCCGTTGCAGCTATAACACTGTATGTGTTAATTCGGTGTCACAGAACCATGGTTTAGACCGAACCCAGCGCCCTGCTCTGTCTCTCAGCAAATGGTTGCCTTCTGTTCAGGGGTCAAAGGTCATGTGTAGTATTCTGTGCTAAGAATTGGTTCCCCTCGTTTCTGTGCCAACCCCTCAGAACACTGGGCTTTGACCAGCTAAAAGAAAGCAGCTTGACCAAGATGCTCTTGTTTTCTGAGGTTCTGAAATTTCAAAAGAGATTTTTTCATTATTGTTGTTTGTTTATAAGTTGTGAAAAGGGGGTTCATTCATCTGTTCTGCAGTGAATCTCCTCCTGCCAGTATCAAAATGCTGTTGTACACAAACATATGCACTATTTACAAAACAAGATTATATCAAACATGTTTAAATTAATGTGCCAAACTATGAACAATTAAATGTACAGACATTTTTATCTACATAAATATTTGCTGTTTTATAATGTGGCAGTGATTGAGGAGCGAGCGTGTGTGTGCTTGGGATGGGGGAGTTGTTAATCTGAGATTCACTCCTGTTGCATCACATCTGTACAAACAGCTAGCGGCGAGGAGTCATCTCAACAATCAGAAGAAATATCTTGTTGCTTTATTTTCTCTGTTTTACACTCCTGGCTAGTTCAAGATTAGAGGCATGAGAGATGCATGACGAGAATTGGTGGGAGGAAGCTGAAGTGCTATAATGGCAGAGAAAAACATTGGTTGCCTTTCATTCTGATGTATTTCTGGATGGTAAAAAATCACTGTTTGTGTGTGACAAGGTAAGAAAATGATCATTCCTTCTTACAACAAGACATATAACGCATTCTAACTTGTTTATGTCCCCAAGTTTCTAGTTCAGTAAATATATTTCTCTGTACGTCTAATTAATTTTACACCCTCAAAACCAGTTAAGAACAGGACCAAATATTTTTTTGAAAGTTTTTCTAATTTGTTGCTAGTGATATGCATGCATTTAAAACATGATATGAATATGTGCTGTGAATGCTGATCCCCTGTATTACTTTCTCTGACTCGCCTGTTTTTTCTTACCTGATCTCAAAACCATTGTTTTTCTATTGCTGTTGGAATGTTATTTGTTGTGTTATAAAAAGAGGGAAAGATGCCAACTTGGTTAACTTTTATGTGCTGTTTATCTTTTTTTTCTACAACTCCCTGGATCCCCTCTTTTGTGAATACCCGTTTGAAAATAAATATTTTTTCTTTTTGCTGCCCTTACGTTCATAGAGTGTGAAACACTTTTGAGTTGTTCAACACTACATTGAATTGACGATTGTAGTTTGAGAACTGTTCCTCCTTTAGTGGGTATTTGTGCAAATGCTATACACATTGCTTTGAATGAATTGAGGTTAAATTATTGGAGTGTTGATATGATGAAGAAAACAGCCGCAGATGATGAGTGACATTCCACAGCTGGTGGTGCAATTCAGAAGGGAGCTTTGAAAACCCCTTGATTTTAGGGTGAAATAATTAGAGCTGCATAGCCAAATCAGCCTCATCAAGCCCAGGAAATATTGGCCGGTAAAATTGAGTTTGTTGTCCTTTTTCTTTTTTTTTCTGTGCTGAGTGAATGGAGATGTAACACGGTTGGTTCAGGTCAGTTGGCTCAGGGAACCCAACTGCATTCACATCTCTCATTCCCTCAGCTGCTCATCTCGCCATACAAACTCAAGCTGCTCTCAGCGCTGCCCCCTGCTGTACTGTTTTTACATAGCACTACACTTTTAAACCTGCAGGACATCTGTGATGCCAGTGCAGAGTGCTCTTGTTCATATATTGAGAGCAAAGTTTTACACAAGTGAAAACTTTATAGCACACATCCCCTGCACTGACCGAAGCGTCCATATTTTTAAAAGTTCTTAAACAGTGTTATTCCCCTATTCAGTGCATCATGTAAAATCAAAACGGCATATCAAAAACTTAATTGTGCCCTATTTATGAATGTATTATATTGTCAAGTTGGAAGTATTTTTTTCATGATTTATTTGACAGTACATTACTTTTAACTACTTTTGCCTTTTTTCATCATCAAGGGGGGAAAAAAGAAACCGTTTCTACTGCCTGGTCTGTCTTCACCAGGTGGATTCTCAATGAACTCTTGATGTAGGAAAAAAAAATAATGACCTGTATATTTTTCATTGTGCCAATTTGTAACATATTTTCTAAGTGTATATTTTTCTTAGAAAGTGATGTGAGGTCGTTTTTACTGTGGCTTTGTTCTTTTCCCTTTTCAGCAAGTGAAAAGGTTGCTTATTGCCATGATGTTTTCTTTTTCTTTTTCTTTCTCTCTCTCTTATTTGTTTTTTGTTTGTTTGTTTTAAAACCAAAAATTGAAAATACTATAAAAAAGAAATAAAAAACTATTGTAAAGGAGAGAGGAGAAGAGCAAGCTATGACTCTTTGTTGAGTTTTTGTAATTGGACCAATCTTGTTGTAAGAGTGTTGTGCTCTAGTAAAATATATATATTAATTTAAAGATGAAAAAGAAACCATGAAAACAGACAGTGGAACAATAACACAAATTTGTGATCTCATTGCTGTTTTATAGATTTTCATGTAAATTATTCTAGTATTTTGTTTTTGTTGTATCTGTCACAAAAGTTGAAATATTTGTGATCAAGCCTGTATGGTGACAAATGTAATATTGGTAACTTGCTGAGTTTTGTAATCATGTTTATGGAATAAATATTAATTAAAAGAGCTTTTGATCACTTGTTTCAGAACTGTCTCATTTTTGCTTGTGGAAACGTGAACAAATTTTAATTAGATCAGGCTTTAGCGACTCTCTGATTTTCTACATAGTTTTTCTGCGTAGCTAGTCTGGTACCAAACCAAACGGACAAGGCGACACCTGTGCTACCACTAGAGTGCCCTAATTACTATTGCTACCAGATAATTTAACTAAAAAACTAGATAAACCAGCTGCACTGGAAACATAATTTGCATGATTTATGAAGCATAGGGTCATTGCAAATGTCTGTTTATATTTAAACTGTATACAGTGGTGTGAAAAAGTGTTGGCCCCCTTCCTGATTTCTTAGTTTTTTGCATGTTTGTCACACTTTAATGTTTCAGATCATCAAACAAATTTAAATATTAGTAAAAGATAACACAAGTGAACACAACATGCAGTTTTTAAATGAAGGTTTTTATTATTAAGGGAAAACAAAATCCAAAACTACATGGCCCTGTGTGAAGAAGTGTTTGCCCCCCTGTTAAACCTGTGGTTTATCACACCTGAGTTCAATTTCTCTAGCCACACCCAGGCCTGATTACTGCCACACCTGTTCGCAATCAAGAAATCTCTTAAATAGGACCTGCCTGACAAAGTGAAGTAGACCAAAAGATCCTCAAAAGCTAGACATCATGCTGAGATCCAGAGAAATTCAGAAACAAATGAGAAAGAAAGTAATTGAGATCTATCAGTCTGGAAAAGGTTATAAAGCCAAACTGAAAGCTTTGGGACTCCAGCGAACCACAATGAGAGCCATTATTCACAAATGGCAAAAACACGGAACAGTGGAGAACCTTCCCAGGAGTGGCCAGCCGACCAAAATTACCCCAAGAGCACAGCAACGACTCATCGTTTGATGATCTGAAACATTAAAGTGTGACAAACATGCAAAAAAATAAGAAATCAGGAAGGGGGCCAACACTTTTTCACACCACTGACCGAGTGTGCACGAACGAAGTGAAACGCTGGAACCCTTCTTTGAAACTGTAAACTGGAACATCATAAAGTGTGTTGCGCATATGTCTGTTTAGCTGCCAGTCATCCAGCCCCCAGACATATGTCCAATCATAGCCCCGAAATTGACGCGCGCCGCAGTTTATGGGCGTGTTTAACACTGAAGTGGGCGGGGTTACGATGGCACTTGGTGGATTTGCTGCGCGGACGGACCCGAATCAGAGTAGACAACCGGCACCAGGCCCATGGCACTTCCTTTAACCACATCATCACCATGGACCTACATGCATCTCAAATTCAGGTACACACTGGGCTTCGCCTTTCCTCCAAACACGCTCAAAACGCCCTTATCTCACGAACTGAGATGACTGGCATAACCCTACAGTTAGGCCTGAATAAAACTGGGTGGGCCTTAAATTTCTTCAGCATTTTATAGTTATGAGACTTGGACAGTGGCGTTTTTTTAATGGTATGATTTCGAGTGAATGTGTTTTATCTGTTTTTTGTTTTTAGGGGTTCTTTGACATCCCAGTTGATAACTTGTACGCTGAGCCGGCAGTCCTCAAATGGATAAAAGAAAATATCAATGAATGGAAGAATTGCACCATTGTTTCTCCTGATGCTGGTGGAGCCAAGAGGTGTGCTTTCTTTCCTTTTCTGTTTTGCAAAACACTGGGTCTCGTTCACTAGCCGTACATACACACAAATGTGAACGTGTTTACAAAGGTTTTTACGACCAAATCATGGTTCATCAATATCTTTTTTTATTTTTTATTTAAATTGACCAAAAAAAATGAAGGAACACTTGATACACCACATACATAAAATTTATTTACTCTAGGTGGGCTTATAAACGTATTATGATGAAAAATTATTCATAGATATTAAATCTTTAAATAATTTGTGACTGTTTGAGGTTGTGGACAGGTGTCTTTTATACTGATAACAAGTTCAAACAGATGCCATTAATACAGGTAACGAGTGGAGGACAGAGGAGCCTCTTAAAGAAGAAGTTACAGGTCTGTGAGAGCCAGAAATCTTGCTTGTTTGTAGGTGACCAAATACTTATTTTACAGAGGAATTTACCAATAAATTCTTTAAAAATCCTACAATGTGATTTTCTGGATTTTTTTTCTCATTTTGTCTCTCATAGTTGAGGTATACCTATGATGAAAATTACAGGCCTCTCTCATCTTTTTAAGTGGGAGAACTTGCACAATTGGTGGCTGTCTAAATACTTTTTTGCCCCACTGTATATATATATATATATATATATATATAAAACATTTTATCACCAGTTTAAAAAAAGTGGCCTAATTTTTCCAGATTTGCTGAGAGTGACTAAAGCCTGTGCGGAAACCCCTTATATGGAAATGGTTTGGGTGTGTTTTATACAAATGGCTAACCTCAGACACACTGTGGCCAATTTAGAGTACTCCACATTCATTGAGATTACAACAAGGTTAAGAACAAATTGGAGTCTGTATGCACATGTTGTGAATTAGATGGAATTTTTTACAGAAACAGTTTTCCTGTGTGTATAAATGAATAATTCACAAAATGAGAAGAATGAGAACCATTCTCTTTTTTTTGTTTTTTTTTTCATTCACTGTCACTCTTGTTTCACATTGTTTTCTCTTTGTGTATCCTTCTCACATTTTGTTTGTTTTAAAAAGTCTTTAAAAAAAGTGCTTTATCATATTTATGAGTATTGGATTACATATCATTTGATTTCATAGCAGCATAACCATTTCAGGTTGTTAAACCTGGAGAATTGTAGTTTGTAATGTTGATCAGGCTCTTGAAGACGATGGAAGTGAGTGTGTTTTACTCTTTTAGGTGTGGAGGGTAAGGAAATGTCAGTTTTTTTGTGGTTATGTGTGAGTGTGTGACTTGGCTAACACACTCACTTGGCCTAAACCTTTAGCTGTACATTATAGTGGTGGGCTTTTTTTTATTTAAATCATTTTGAAGTCTTTTAAAGCTGGGCTAATTTAATCATGCTGATTACATCATGTGATTTGTTTCTTGAGAAATGGACTGACTACAGCGCCCCCTTTTGTAACAGTTTAAGACACTTGAGTGAGTGAGTTTATGCACACTGGTGTTTGTACTTGTTTTTACTGTAACTTTTGTGCATGTGGCTTCTCTGAGATTGCGACACTTGCAGAGAAGCCTGAATGCATCCATGGTCATTTCCCACTGTTGTGCAGAATGTTACTTAAGAATTATGTGCTCATTTTATCAGAGTGACATCCATCGCAGACCGCCTGAATGTGGACTTTGCCCTAATCCATAAGGAGCGGAAAAAGGCCAATGAGGTGGATCGTATGGTGTTGGTTGGGGACGTGAAGGACCGAGTGGCGATTTTAGTAGACGACATGGCAGACACGTGTGGGACAGTATGTCACGCGGCTGACAAGTGAGGACACGCATGATACACAATCACTTTCATGCTGAAACAAATATGCGCTTTCATGATTATCCTGGTAATCTGTCAGGCCTCATGCCTCTGTGTTTAATTGCTTGTGTGTCTCTGTCCTCTATCAGATTGGTGTCTGCGGAAGCCACTAAAGTGTATGCCATCTTGACTCATGGCATCTTCTCTGGGCCAGCCATTTCTCGTATCAATAATGCCAACTTCGAGGCAGTTGTGGTCACCAACACAATTCCACAGGAGGACAAAATCAAACACTGCAACAAGATTCAGGCACAGACATTTATCTTATAGAGAATGATGTTGTGGTTTAAGGCTGGGTCATAATTTCTTTTTAATCTATTTCTGTTTTCAGTAAATTGAAAAGCATTTAAGATATTAAACTCTTATTTATTTATATATAAGCAAATGGCTGCAATATAACAAAGAGTGAAAAATTTAAGGGGGTCTGAATACTTTCCGTACCCACTGTATATATATAAAGTAAAAAAAATTTAGTTCAACATACTATTTTATCAAAAATACACTAAAAAATAGGAATATTGTTAAATATTATCAGATTTTAAAGTAACAATTTAAAAATATAATTTATTCTTGTGATTAAACAGCTGAATTTCAGCAGCCATTACTTCAGTGTTCAGTGTCACATGATGCTTCAGAAATAATTTTTTATGCTGATATGGTGCTCAAGAAACTTCTTATTGTTATCATTTATGTTGAAAACAGTTGTGCTATTTTAGTGGAAATGGTGATGCCTTTTTTTTTCAGAATTTTTTTGGATTAATAGACCGTTCTAAATAAAATTAAATAAGTTTACTAACTCCAAACTTTTGAACTGTAATCTGGTATTACCTTCTGGAATATTATATCTGATTTGGGTGTTTTTCAGATCAGTTTTTTCACCCAGAGCATGTTAACTAATTTATTTCTCTTTCCCTCTCCAGGTGATCGACATTTCTATGATCCTGGCTGAAGCTATTAGGCGAACTCATAATGGGGAGTCAGTTTCATACTTGTTTAGTCATGTCCCCTTATAACATATACACACACGTACAGACAACATGTCTTCACGCATGCCATCACTGTGTACAAACTCATATGATGGAGAACCATTGCTGGCTCTGTTAAGCCATGTTCCTTTGTAAGAGTCTCATACATGCACCATTTAACTGAAGACATATTCTGGACCGTGAATGAAAGCCCTTTGTGCAACACACAGTTCCCTCTTTCTGTTGCATGTGCTGACTTACCTATTTTCCAAGAGTATTGTGATATGTAACAACTCCTATCATCATTTCACCCATCACTCTATGGTATATAAATGTTACCTGCATGTTAGACTGAGGATTCACTTGAACGTTGCTGTCTGTTATTTTCTGCCTTAGAAACCATTTAAAACCAATGAGACGACAACCCCTGCTTATAATGAAAAATCTCCTGTAATACTGGAATTTTTTTTATGTTTTAGCTCTGAAGTTTGTGTAACTTAAAGGTACGATAGATGTTTATGACTTTTGTAACACTTTAATTTAGTTATAGAATCGAATTACTAACATGTGGTAGATTGAAATAGAATATGGGTTAAGCCCCTTTAGATTGCCATTGTTATGGCAGCTGATTTTTTTTTTCTTCATTTGTTTCTCTTCTCAGGTTTCAGTTTTAGGTAGATTTTTTTTCTTCTTCATTACTTTATTAATTTTCATCTCTTCAGGGTCTTTTGACAGGATGAAAACCAAGATCTTGGTGGAAAAATGAGGTCACATTTTTAAGTTGTGATAAAATGTTTCTTTTATATCTATGTTCATGTTTACAGTTACGCAGCGCTTTTGACTGCTTGATCTGTGAACACAGATCTGTGAAGTTCCCTTTAGATTTGACTGAAGACACACCTAAATCCTAATTAAGTGGCTACTGTAGAATTGGCCCAAACAATCAGCTTGTTGAACTATATTTTTGTTGTTTCTTGCTTCTAACTGTGTGGGTCAGTGTGTTTGGTTTGAGTACGTTTCTTTTTCCATGCTACTTAAGCGAGAACCGAGATAATACACTTAACAATCCTACAGCTTACACTGGAGCAGTAAGTGAGATGACAGCTTGATTTGATAGGTCTATGCCGTTTGCCTTAATGAAGGAGAAAGATGCTGACGATTGTATCTCATCTGAATGCAGAATGATGAGTAAAGTATTTCATGTATAAACTGCACACCCGTTTGTGGTCTAATTGTTCAATTTTTATACAATTTAATAATTATCTTTTTTTCGCATTGAGATGTTTCATGTATTTTATTTGAATGATTTCTGTACAGTTTTTAATATATTTTAAATGGCCTTTCTTAATTCATAAATTCGAAAACACGGCACATATTTAGTTTGGAAATATTTCATTTGATATTTCCATATCGCACGGATTTAAACGTTTATAAACTGTAGTAACACTGTGGTAATACATTAGCGCACTAGCTAGGTGGCGCAATTGTTTAGTTTTACAGGTTGCAAGGCAGACTTTCGTAAAATAAGAATAATTAATTCCGTAACTTAAAAAGAAAATAAAATGTAAAAACGTTTTTAATGTTTTAACGTAATTTAAAAGACATTACCAATATCGGTAAACAGATGATGTTTAGAAAATTATTGCAAATGGTTTGAATCCGAAGAGATATACATTTACCTGTCCGTCACTCAACAGACACCATAATAAAGGCGTTAATATTTAAGTAATTTGAGGAAACGGATTCGCTAAATGATCGTGCCTTTTGTCAGAGTCACATTAAACAGACCCTTATCCGAATACCGACGCGTCTCGAGCACAGCGTCGAGCTCGCGTTCACCGTGCTGTCTGTCCTGACTTTATCACGCTACACCATTGCGGGATTACCGTCTTATCTTAACTAGCAATGTTCCCACGGCTCCGCACTGCGAGCTATCCTGTTATCATCCACTTGTCTTATTTATGGAAGCCTGTTTCGAAGTAATGTGGAGTAGCTTATATGAGTGACAGAGAACGCGCGTGCTTGGTCACAAGGGTCGTTCATTAAATATATCAAATAATATTTCCAAAGTTATTACTGAGGGAATGTTGTTTTCTGTCACCAGCAAACCAATACAAACGGACTCGCGCGGTGAAAGAGAGAGAGGACAGAGCGCTCGCCTAGTTACCTCCTTCCGACCTCCTCAACTTTTAACCCCGCAGCGCGCGACGATGTTGACGGACAATCGCTGATTATTTACTGAACAGTTTGGAGTCTGAGCATAAATTCTGCACCAGATATGTGAGTACTACGAATTTCTCTTCTTACGCTATTTAGGGCGGCTCCTCAATTTTGTATTTGTATTTGGAAAGCACAGGAACAAGCATATTTATCTTGGAGGAGAAGAGGTGTTCGCGCGATGTGGGTGTTTATGGTGAATCGTGTCGCCGTGTGTGAGTTTGGACTGGCGTGTCACGAGCGTGTGAATGAAAAAGGTGCGAGGACATCGAAGGCATCACGCTAATGGCAGACAGGGAATGGATGGAGGGAGAAAGAGACACGGCAGAAGGCTAACGGGGTTGAGAAGAGAGGAAAATCACAATTTAAACGCTCTCAACTATTTTTGCAGATATTTTTATTTATGTTCAGTTAGGTTAAAAATGATAGGCCTTTTGGAGAAATAGCCTAACAAATCAGTCGGGACGAATTTAAAATTACGTCTGGTGTTTTTCGGAAAACAATGAGGTAAGAGACAACAAAAATCCAAGTATATGCGAGGAAAATATAAAGTGTAAATAAGTTATTCGATTCTGTTGGAATAAATGAAGATAGTAGGCGGCAAGTCGAGAATTTCCGATAGCCGGCATAGCCTATAGATATAATAAATGCAATAAATGTTTTACATGAACAACTACAGCGTTCTGTCCTAACATTCTCTCCATCGAACGCAAAAATAGCTGAAAACGCGAAACGGCAAATAATTGTATCAAGGCAAAATATAGGCTATATTATCTATTACTTTGTTAGTTACACAATCATTTGAAGAAATTAATTGATTACAGTTTGTGTGGATTTTTATTTAAATTTAATTAATTTTTATTTAATTCTGGAGATCACCTGGTGAAAATATTTGTACTATTTTCCATTGCGCATCTTTTAGTTCACCGTAATTAAACTCAAACTGGGATATGGCGAATTTAGAGATCGGATCTCAGCAGTCATGTTCCGGCGGCGATTCTCCAGCGATGGAATTCGAGAAGGATAAAGATTCCGGACATCACGGTCGGTGCAAAACCGGGTCGCCGCCACTGCAAACTCAGCTCTCCCAACAGGTCAGCCATAACTGTGCACATGCAGCCTACCCGAGAATGCGAGGCCAAAACTCTGCTGTCAGATTTTTGTCAATATTTGTTTAGGCTAATACTGTATTGTAATAATTGTATTATTATTATTATTAGCCTATTGTTATTATTATTATGCTTTCTGTCTAGTTTATTTTAAGTGGAATTATTAATTGCACATTGGAAATTCACTAGGAAGATGGCATATTTACAAATAAATTAATAATGTTTATATAACAAGCAAATCGACATTTTGTAGCATCACACTCAGGATTCAATACAGGAGTGCATTATTTATGTTAGCCTACGTAGTGTATTTAGATCATTTCCTCTGTCTCCAAAATGTACATGCGAATCTTTTTAATTTGCTATCAAATTCAATATTATTAACAACTGTTTTCACAATTATGATTCGTAAGGACTAATAAAAAAAAAAAACACACTGGTAAAAAAACAAACCCATTCTTTATTTAAATATTATGTTATTATATTGTTTGTATTTGTCAACGTATTTAGGCAGGGAAAAAATGAAAGAATCAGCAGTAATTTGCATTTCTCCCCCCTGTATTTTGCCGACCCTCGCGCGCAGAGTATGGAGGGGATTAAAGTTTATTTGCACGAGAGAGATCTGTGGGCAAAATTTCATGATGTCACCACGGAGATGATCATCACCAAAGCTGGCAGGTGAGTGACACTTTTTTCATTTTTTTCTACCCCACAATGTATGTGCATTATTTCACAATAATTATTTCATTATTTATTCGAAAATAGATTTCTTTTTATTGAATATTCGTGGATCCAAACTATTTTCAACACAAAATTCCCCAGGCGGGAGCAAAACGGCCCCTGGAGGACAAAAGTGAGAAACGGCACAATTTGCCATCATATTCAAACATGCTGGCTGTATTAGGATATTTTTGGTTTGATTCATTTCCAAATAAATCTATTCCCATTTTGCTTGTGTTTTTAACTATTGGGTCACTTTAAATAAAGCAAAATTAATATCTCTAATTATGTGTGATAGACATTAGAATGATTGCATTATTGCAAAAAAAGACCTCTTGTCATGACATCCTTAACTTACTTAATGAGCAGGAAAATGTTGACAAACAAGACAATACTCCATTGTATTAAAATTATTATTATTATTATTATCATTATTATTTGACTATTGTTGTTGGCTCTTTAATGGATCATTAATCTTTTACAGACGAATGTTTCCCAGCTACAAAGTGAAGGTAACAGGCTTAAACCCCAAAGCAAAATATATCTTACTGATGGACATTATTTCAGCCGACGAGCATCGGTATAAATTTGCAGATAACAAATGGTAAGAAAGTAATAAATTATAATTTATATAAACTATAATGCTAATAAAATACATAAATTAATAGAAAGGTAAACATTTATAAAGATGTTTGATTCTTTTTCAACAATGAATATTAAGAAGACATTTTATTAAAAAGATTTTGATTGGTGATTGAATCAATGTATGGAAGGCTATTGAGCTGATGAAAGTGACTGAATGAAAATGATAGGTGTAGCTAAATCAATGCATGGAGGAATGCTAAGAGAAAGGTATGCATAGCATAAATAGAAATTAACTCTGTTGTGTGTTGATGTTGTGAAATGATGCAAAAACAATGCAATTATAACAACCTGAACTTTTATCTCAGAATTGTGGAGCAGACAGAAAGTCCTTATCTCTTTATATCGACCAACTCGTTCATGTCCTATCTGCTCTGCAGGTCCATCAGTGGTAAAGCTGAGCCGGCGATTCCAGGCCGACTGTATGTGCACCCAGACTCACCGGCTTCAGGAGCTCACTGGATGAGACAGCTCGTCTCTTTCCAGAAACTCAAGCTCACCAATAACCACCTGGACCCTTTCGGACATGTCAGTGATGTTTCCAATCAAATTGAATTGGTTATTTAAATTACTGATGAACATAACTAAACTCTCCACTGGTTTACACCTCAGTTGGATTGAACTGGACATAGAACAGGGTTTCTTTGGGTCTTTAAAAGGCCTTAAAACTCACCCTTCCATAAAATAAGGACTTAAATTAAGTCTAAAGTTCATAAAGTCAATGTTGTATGCATTGCTAAATTAATATCTTCCTCAGTACGTTTGTCTTGTTTTCCAATACATATTTCTGAACATCGAGATACATTTTCTTGAGATGCAAAATGAAGATATTTTATTATTTTTTTTAATTCATAAACACTTAATTTTTATACATTTTACAGAAACAAGATTTCTTATCTCATGTCTCAAGTAAATCTATCTTGATTTAAGACTCTTTAGACATTTGCCCTGGACAACAAGACAAACGTTCTGAGGAAGGACAGAGGTTGGGAGAAGAAGTATTCTTTTTTTTTTTTTTTTTGTAAACCAATTTAAAAAGTAGTAGAGGTCCATTGGAAGCTGTATTTTCAAACTCTGAAGTGTTGCTAATAGATCACATTGTGTTCTTTACATTTTCTTTGCTTGGTCTTAAAAAGGTCTTAAAACATCTTGCCCTCATAAAACCTGCAGAAACCCTGATGGAACCAACGTGTTGATAAGGAAATCTCTTCCTGTTATTTGTTGCAGATCATTTTAAATTCCATGCATAAATACCAGCCTCGCCTGCACATTGTGAAGGCAGACGAGAGGAACAGCTTTGGCTCCAGCAATACAAGTTTCTGCACACACTCATTTCCTGAGACAACCTTCATCGCTGTAACTTCCTACCAGAACCACACAGTAAGCAGCATGACCCCTATGATAGTAAATAAATGGATAGATTTGCAGAAAGCAGCAGTGTTCATCTTTAATCCTCTGTTTTTTTAGATCACTCAGCTGAAGATTGAGAATAATCCATTTGCTAAAGGTTTCCGTGGAAATGACGA